GGCTGCCCCAACCCTGGCAGTGTTCAAGGCCAGGCTGGATAAAACCTTGAGCAACCTGATCTAGTGAGGAGGTGATCCTGCCTATGGCTGGGGGTTGGGACTGGATGATCTCTAAGGTCTATTCCAACTGTTAAAGTCTATGATTTCCAGAGGGAGAGAAAGGTGATGTGTCTCTGTTCCCGAGTATCTGGCAGTGCTGTGGAGCACAAAAAGCTTCTGTGGCCATCAGCTGGATCAGGTGCAAAGCACACAGGCTTCCCAGCTGAGACCTTGTGTTTGGAAGTTTGTTTGGTGTCCAAGCCACAGAAAGACTTCCAAAGGCCTGAGGCTTTCGTGTGTTGAAACTTTACCCGTTATTAATTACTGTGCACAATTAAACCTCTAAATTAGCCTTTTGTGTGGATGAACTGTTGTTGTTCCTAGGAGAGTTTCTTGAGGTTTCTTTGGTATGTTGCTGTTTTACTTGCCTTTGCTTTCCCACAGTTCTTAGTTTTTTGATTATTTTCCTTATGTTCAGTTTTCTTTGTTAAAAGAACATTTTGGAGAACTTTGTTTTTTGGCTTGTGGAACAACCAAAGAGCCTGGAGCCATATTCCTTATAAGGCTGATTTCTGGCTTTGTGCTTGGGTTTGTATGTCAGGAGCAAAGTTTTGATTGAACCATGAAAAGTGCCCATAGCAATAGATGGAGTGGAACTGAAGGAAGTAAGGTTGGAGAAACTTAGAGCTTGTCTCTTCCCATCCCTTGAGCAAAGATGGGCAACTTTGGAGCCCCCAAGACACCAGCAAACATTTCATTCAGCACTTACCAAAGCAAAGTGGTTTTAGGGCTTCAGCTCTTGAAATAATGGCTATTAACATTTCTCTTCCATTACATCTTCCCTGTTTCACCAGAGCTCCCAGGGCTCATCCAGAATGCTAAACAGGCAGCACCAGGGAGGTGCTGTTGTGCAGGAAACAGGAATAGAAGCTCCATGTTTCTTGGGAAAATCTCTTGCTGGGGAAAGCACTGCAGGTGACTTCTAGAGAAATGGGAATACACACGGGGAGCAAGACATCCACACTCTGTTTGGGCAGTGGAGGCTAAATTATATGTTTAAGTGATCAGTGGTATTTATTTATAAGTAAAGGTGTATAAATATGAGTTACATATAAATGTTATGTGTGTTTGCACTGTTATTGTTATACAGGGTGTTCATGGAGTCCCCCAAAATCCTGAGGAGCTCTCAAATGTCCGTCAGAAATCTGAGAAGGCTTCAAGGAATCAGGTTCATACCTCACCAAAGGAGCTGTCGGTAGCCAATGGGACTTCCCACTCCACTCTGACAAGGAAGGACATGAGGGTGGAAGGACACAATCCTGAATCCAGGTCCAGGCTTAGAAGAACAGGTTGGACATGTAAGGAATGTTCACAGTGGATCCCTGATCGGGAAACCTATGTGTCCCACATGAAGAGAAACCATGGAAGGGTAAGGACTTGGATGAAACCCTTGAGCTGGGGAACTGGGGAGGAGTACCAGGCCCCTGTATGGCACTGGGCTGTAAGTCCAAGAGCTACAAATCTCAGTTTTGTGGGTTTCATCCAGCTCAAGCCTTGCATTGCCTTGACCTACTTCTGTCAAGCTAATCCTTGTCTCTGGCAGAACATAGGCCAAGATGTTGTGCACAGCCAGATTTCTTACTTCTTTGGCTTCAGGACTTCTTGTTTGATATCCTGAGTCACCTAGCCACAAGCAGAGGCTGTGGAAATCTTTATCCTGGTCTTTGGTTCCCTCTAGCTTGATTTGGGTTGTCCCACTTGGTGAATGTCAAGAGAAGATGGGGGTGAGGTGAGAAGGTTGGATTTTCCCATTTGAATTCTAGAGAAGGAAGAAATTGCTCAAATATTTCAGTTCAGTACTTAGATTTATTCATTAAACAGGTCTAAGAAGGTTTTAAGTGGAATATTCCTGGGAGTTTGGATAGAGAAGAAGCTGAACAGGAGCCAGCAGTATGCTCAGGGGGCCAAGAAGGCCAATGGCATCCTGGCCTGGATCAGGAACAGTGTGGTCAGCAGGATCAGGGAGGTGATTCTTCCCCTGCACTTGGTTCTGGTGAGGCCACAACTTGAATCCTGTGCTCAGTTCTGGGCCCCTCAGTTCAGGAGGGACATTGAGGTGCTGGAGCAGCTCCAGAGAAGAGCAACGAGGCTGGTGAAGGGACTCAAGCACCAGTGCCATGAGGAGAAGCATCTAAGAGGTGATGTCCAGGTGAAGGGGACGGGAATGTTAGGCTCCAGTCAGTGCCTTCCACCTCCCTGTTCCTAAAAGCTGTCTCTGTTTTCCTGCCAGTCCATGAAGAGATATCCCTGTCGGCAGTGTGAACGCTCATTCAAGGCCTCCAACAGCCTGCGCAGACACATCCGCAATAACCACGACACAGCAAAGAAAGTTTACACCTGCTGGTATGTACCCAATGCCACTTCTCCAATTCACCTTCCACAGCAGGCTGATCCCTCAGGTTTGGGGTTGTCATAGCTCCTGTCTGCTGCTCCTGTCTGCTCCGGGCTGTGAGTTCTTGCGGGAGAGTCAGGGTAGGTTAAACACAGACTTGGTGGCTAAAAGAAGTCCTTGCTTTTGGTTTTCTCTTGGAAACTCTAGGGGAAGGTGTGGTTTGAGATCTGCAGGTGCCAAATGAGACTTATATTGCACATCCTTGTGAAGCAGCCAGAATCTATCCATAGTTTTGTTAATACTGGGTCAGCCTTTCGCTGTCTTGTGGTCATGCATCACTCTTGTGCCTTCTCCTTGGGTGTAAAAGGTGTGCAAAATCATCATGAGCCAGGTCTTGCCACTGCCGTACACGGGCAAAACTGACTGCACTGGCTGTAGGGCAGTGGAGAATTCATCTTGCTGGATTTGCTTGGGAAAACACACCTCAAAGTTGCAAAGTGGCTTTGGAGCCTTCAGGCAAGTTATGTAAGTCAGCAGTGAATGAAAATCATGGCTGGTGAGCATATTTTAACTGTGAACAGTCTCAGTTCAGGACCAAAACCAACTGCAGAGAAAGTCATACACTGTGACCATGCAGAGTTGCTTTCTGCCTCCTTCCAAAACTTCCTTCTGAACCAGAATTGAAGCACATTTGGGTTGGAAGGGAAGTTTGCAGTGCTGGAGGTTGGGGGATTTTTCTCATTTTTGGTTTACTGTGTTCCTGAAGTGTGCTGTCACTCAACTGCACTTAGGTTGGTAAGAGCTCATCTTGGAGAGTACAAGTACATCCCTTGGGGGCTTCACTTCTTTGGGCTGCACAGTGAGCCACAGTAGCGTTTAGTAAATGGGATACAGGATTGGAATTACCACTGGGAATGAGAAAGAGGGGAAATTTAGATTAGATACTAGGCAGAAGTTTTTCCTGTGAGGGTGGTGAGACACTGGCACAGGTTGCCCAGGGTGGCTGTGGCTGCCCCAGCCCTGGCAGTGTTCACAGCCAGGTTGGATGAGCCTTGAGCAACCTGCTCTGGTGGGAGGTGTCCCTGACTGGATAATCTCTAAGCTCCATTCCAACACCTTAACATTCTATGGTTCTATACATTCCTGACACATTTTTTCATCTAGAACTTCTAAACTTTGCATTCCTTGTAACTATGCTCTGACTTGGAGCCTCTGGAGCAGATGAATTGTTGCCTCTCAGTGTGTTTCACTCTGCATTGAGTTTGTAGGTGATGGTCTTTGGTGTTACCTTCACCTGATCTGTAGAGGTCTGTTCTCTCTGGATCAGTTGTTTTCAGAGCGGAGTGTATCAGGATCAAAATGAGCATAAGGCCTGGCTGGGAAGGATTTGTGTGGAAATTCCTAGCAATCTGGAACATGCCAGCCTGCTCTGTGTGCAGTACCTGTGTACAGCCCTGGAGTTCTGTTCTCCTGTTGCTTTTCAGAATGACACACAGTGGTGAATCCACAGCTTCACCCAAGGACCCATGGGCATGCCAGCAGAGAAAACACAGCTGGAAATCTAAGGGGATTGTGGTTGTGTTTAATTCTCTGGCTTGTAGTTGCTCCTTCTCAAAATCTGTTGATGACATTTTAATTGGGCAGCAGTTGTGCTCTCTTCAGTCATTGTAGTAGATCTCTCATTACTGAGATCACAGTGCTCTTCAGATGAAACCTCTTCCTTGAAATACTGTCCCAGCATCTCCAACAGCTGCTCTTTGTTTGGATCCAAGGTCTCCTGTCCTGTCTTTGTTCTGATCCCTCTTAGCTTGTCCAGAGCCCTGTTCTAAAAATCTCCTCGGTGGCCATTGCTCACAAAGTTCTCCCACCTCTGAATTCTTCTTCTTCTCCTTTCAGTGCTCTGTCAGGCATCACATCTCCACTGCTCCTTTTTCCTTTGGTTTGGGTCTCTTTTCCTTCTTCCCACCTGGTATTCTCTATCACTCTCACCTGTTAACTCCCTTTGGGGGTTTTGATGCCTTAACTGCATGTCACTCTCTTCTCCTGATTTCCATGTGAAAAACGAATGAAATCTGTCACTGATCTGACAACTGACTATTTTTGTGACTCTGTACTGGCTGCTGGGTGACCTCCCTCTGGCTTCTAACATTCCCAGCTGTCATTTCCCCTTTCTCCCTGCCCTGTATAAGTCTCTGCCTTCAGCAGGGAGAAAACAGTGAGGGAGGACTTGCTTGATCCCCCTCCTGCCATGCTTGTCACTGGAGTACTACACGTTAGGAAAGCTCACATGAAAAGGATTCTAAATTAGGACAAATTGCAAAATACTGTGATGTTTTTGTGTATTTACTTTCATAATTCACTTGGTTATTGTTGTGAGATTTCTTCCCTTCCAAGTCTTAAATACAAACTGTCTGGAGCACTTGATTTTCAACATGTTTATTTTTGATAAATACCACTTAATAACCTCTCAGCTTTCCTCCATGAGGGAGGAAAAATTCCATCATCATTAAATATTGATTTGTCATCTAAGCAATGCCAGATAAAACCCAGAAGTACTCAACAAGCATGTCTGAATTTTCACATCATTGCTGACTGGTGTTTCATTTCCCTCTCGTTACTGGAAGATCAGTAGGAATCTTCCTCTCTCCTTTGAAAAGCTGTCTGTGTTGCCCAGAGATACTCCAGCTCCTCTCTGGTGCTTTTCATCCCGTGCTGCCTATTTTCAGCTGCAGTTTGGGCATTTCAGGGAACTCTGGTGTCACTTGCTGATTGCTCAGGTTGATGTGTGGCTGATGGACCTTCCCTGTCTTGCACTGACAGGCAGCAGAACAGCACAGTCAGTCTGGGGGGGCCTCAGTTGCTGACAGAGCCCTCTGTGAACTTCAGGGGGGTTGGTTTATGTGTCTGCAAGGCCTGGCACTGACTCCAGTAGACAATCAGTCATTCTCAGAGCAACTTTTCAATATCTGAAGGGGCTACAAGGAGCCAGAGAGGACCTCTATGTTAGGAACTGCAGTGAAAGGACAAGGGGGACTGAAGAAGGGCAAGTCTAGGTTGGATGTGAGGAAAAGGTTTTCCCTGGGAGAGTGGTGAGACACTGGCACAGGTTGCCCAGGGATGTGGTGGCTGCCCCAACCCTGTTGATGTTCAAGGCCAAGCTGGATGAACCTTGAGCAACCTGATCCAGTGCTCTAGATTTCTCTCAGGGTAATGTTTTATTATTAAAACAATGATTTGCTATGTATTTTGATAGTCTAATGGTACATTACTCACCAGAGTCTGTCTCCAGTGGCACCTCTTGGTTTGGCACAGTACAAAGAGCAATTCCTCTATTAAATTGTCTTTTTTTGTGTTTCCAAGGTACTGCACAGATGAAAATCAGACATTTCCTCAGCCATTCATGCTGGAGAACCACATCAGCCTCATGCATGGCATCAAAAACCCAGACTTGTCCCAGATGGCCAAAGCAAGAGCTTCAGAGAGAGACACAGCAGAAGTAACTGATATCTATTTTCATTGAAAATTAACTGTACAATTAAATGTACCTAGTCAGTACCTGTTCTCTTGGGGTGTTAGGTCAAGCTGCAGCCTTGTGCCAGTCAAACCCTCCCATCCAGAGGGCAGATCTCCTTCCCCCTCCCAGTTCCATCCAAGCTGCTTCCCTCTGGCAGGGTCAGGATCAGCACTGGGAGCACAGCTGAGCTGCAGCAGCACCAGGGCAAGGACTTTTCCATTTTCCAAGATACTCTGGCTCATGTGGCCCCATGTTCCACTGGCCTTTTCCCAGTCTGCTTTATGATCTAAGTTATTACCCTGGTTTTCCCCTGCCACTCTGTTCTCATGGTACATTTTGCCTCTTTCTCCCTTACCTTTTCTGCTAGTTCTAAAAGATTTATTTAAAATACTTCTTAGATCCATTACTTGTGAGAACTGTGTTTCTCCTAGTCAGCACTGTGTGATTTTGTATAGCAAATGTAACTGCTGTGCTGCTTTTGCTTTGGATGGGGTTGTGTGGAGAGTTGCCTGACTGGGCTTCTCTGCTCCATTTATTTTCAAAATACACCTTTTGCTGCAGGGATGTAGCAGGGGCGCCGTCCTCATGGGAGGAGAAGCTGCAGGATTGTAAGACAGAGGATGAGTTACTGAGAGATGCCATGAAGACAAAGCCTGAGTGGAGAGGAAAATGCTCAGAGTTAAATCTGAGAAGCTTTGCTTAGGCTTGTGACCACCCTCATGTCCCTCAGCTGTCCTGCTCTGTGGGCTCCTCCTGCCCACACCAAATACCAAATTGTTCCCAAACCAAATTGTTCCCCAGAGAGGCTGTGGCTGCTCCATCCTTGGAAGTGTTCAAGGCCGAGTTGGATGAAGCTTGGAACAACCTGGTCTAATGTCTCTGGGTGTTGCTGCCCATGGAACTGAATGATCTTTAAGGTCACTTCCAACCCAAGCCATCCCACAATTCTAAATTCTCTTTCCCCATCACATTTCTGCCCAGACAACCTCTCCCAGAGTTCCCATCTCTCAGGACAACAATAGAGACTCTGTGTGTGGGGTGAGGTGTTTAGGTACTGGTAGGGAAGGGAATGCCCCAGGAATCCCTAGGCATGGCTTCACCCTCGGGGCGTCTCCAGACACGCATGTGGAAGTTAGCAGTTACTCTTCCATGGATTCAAAGAATAAAATCCCATTCTCATTTTTTTGAAGGCAAAATCTCCAAAGAGGATGTCACCGGCCGAGCTGGGTCAGGCAGAGACCACTGCGGGGTCGGACGCACCGCCAGCCAAAAAACTGAAGGCACCGTGGAAATGCGCCAAGTGCAACTTCGCCACCGACCTGAGGACTGAGTTTCACGAACACATACCTCGGCACAAGACCGACAGCTCCACCTTCCAGTGCTTGTTCTGCGGCCTCTGCTACACGTCCCACATCTCTCTGAACAGACACCTCTTCATCGTTCACAAAGTCAAAGATGAGGAGGAGGAGGAAGAAGAGGAGGAGGACGATGATGACGAGGAGGAGGATGATGATGAGGAAGATGAAAGGCAGAAGTTGCAGAGGGAGATGAGTGAGAATGGACACGAGGGCTACAATGGCGAGTTGAACACTACGGCGGAAGAGGAAAACAAATACAAAGAGTGCAAAAGTGACTCAGCTCTCTGTGAGCACAGTCAGACGTGTGGCGCGGAGGGCCCCAACAGCTCCTCGCAGAACAATCATGCAAAGTCTCTTAAGACTTAAAAAACACAAAAAAACCCTTTTGGTTGGTATGGGTTTTTTTGTTGGGGGGTTTTTACTCAAAATACAGGGTGGGGATGGGGTGAAGCTTTGAAATACTCTGTTGATTTCTTGGGATGGACATTGCTTTCCGTTAACTTCTATTTGTAAGGGAAATTTAAACCAGAAACAAACAAAACCAACCCTGCCATTGCATCCTAAGCACTAACTCTCTGCCAGCCCAGAGAGGTGAAAAGGGAAAGCAGGGCCAGAATCCTCACTGGAGCTTGGCCAGCTCCTGAGGATCCAGGAGCACTTTGCAGCTGCAGTTTCCTTCAGACGAGCTCTCCTCCTTCAAGTGTGCACTGCCTCAGCCTCTGCCCGGAGCCCCAGCCTTGCCTTCCGTCTCTTCCTTTCTTTTTCCTTCTATTTATGGCTTCTTTTCTCTCTCCCCATCCTGCCTTTGTGTTCCTCACTTTAACTCGCACACTGGCTCAGCAAATTGCGCCTGTCAGGACTGTGCTGGCCGACCCGGGATCCGCGTTACTCGGGACGGGTCGGAGCTGTAAGTTGTGCTCATTACTCTTTAATTGCCCCAAATAACAGCCTTCTTTTCCAAAATGCCATTTAATGAAATGTCTTGGACCCGAATCATCCTCAGAGAGGATTTTGTAGCCGCCGGGTGAACACAGTGTTAAGGAGGGCCTGGTCCCCCCTGGGGACGTGTCGCTGGAGTTGTGCTGCTGGAAGCTGTTCTGGGATGAGTGCCCCCAGGGCTGGTGCTCTGTGGCTCATCCCACTGCTCGGGCAGAGCTGGGGGGCAGGTTGGCACCATCCCCAGAAGGGGAAAGCATTCCCCACTCTGTGTGGTCAGCTGGAGTAAAACCATCCTGGTGCTCCCCACGGCATCGGTGCCAGGGCTCCCTGACCTGCTGGTTTGAGGGGGAGAGGAGCAGAGCTCAGCGAGGTATTGGCACCAGTGGGAAGCACCATCCTGCAGTGGGGCTGGTGCTCCCTCAGCTGCTCCTCTCCCGAGGCATTCCCCATCACTTAGGAGATGTTTCTTTCCATGTAGTCACATTGACTCTCTCTCTCCTCCCGTGTTCCCATCACACCCATGCTTCCTGTAATATAATTACCTTCTATACCATTATTTTTTTCATTCTGTTGAGCCAGAACTCTGCTCGTTATTGTTTACTCTGATGTTTAAATAATTTAAGAACTATTTATCTCCTTGCATTGGGCTCGTCACCGTCTCGTCTCAGTGTGTACAGCCCCTGGGGCTGTCTGCACATTGGGTGGGTAGAGGTTGGATGTGGGTGGGGTGTTGGTTGGATGGGGATGTTGGATGAGCAGTGATGGAATGGGGTGTTGGTTGGATGTGGGGATTGGTTGGATTGGAGGGTTAGATGCATGGGGTGTTGGGTGGACGGACATTGGGTGGATCTGAGGTGTCCGTTGGATGGGGTGTTGGGTAGATGGGGTGTCTGATGGGTGTCTGTTGGATAGGGGTTCAGTTTGATGAGTGTCTATTGGATGGGGTGATGATTGGATGGCGTGTTGGTCGGATGGGTGCCAGTGTTTTGTTGGATGTGGGGTATGGGTTGGATGGGTGTCATTGGATGGGATGCCATTGGTTGAGAGGTGTTGGACAGGGTGTTGGTGGGATGGGGTGCTGCCTGGGTGGGGTGTCAGTGGGATGGGGCACTGTCTGGATAGAGTGTTGGTGGGATGAGATGGTGGTGGTATGGGATGCTATGTTGGTTGAGGGGTGTTGGTGGGACAGAATGTCAGTTGGACGGGGTGTCAGCAGGATGGGAATGTCAGTTGGATGGGGTATCAGTGGGATGGGAGGTTGAGAGGAGGCGGCGGGATTGGGTGCTGATAGGACGAGACGTCAGTGGCACGCGGTGCCGGTGGGATGGGGTGCCAATGGGATGCTGTGCCGGTGGCATGGGATGCGGCGGTGG